TATCCTTGGATAAAAATAATATTATATATACACATAATATTCAATAAGACTCATCATCCTAAAAATATGATGACTTATAGAAAATGTTTTTTAGCTACAGTGGGTCAAGTTTACACCAAGAAGTAAGATGAACATTTTGCATAATATAGTTGCTGAGAAGATCGCGAAGACGTACCGTTGTCTCAGATTTCTTTCCGCTGCTACTGGCATTTGCCGGAATCGTTGGTCGAGAACTCGCGAAAAGGGGATGAACTGATCGAAAAGTCGACGGATGGGAGTAGCAGGAAAAAAAGGCAAGCTGTATACACTTTTTTAAACGAGACGACTACAGTAGAGCCCAAGAACGCCAGTAACCAAAAAAAAAAAAAAAAAAATCATCCATCACGTTGGCACAGTAAAAACACTGTATGAACATCTAAGAAATCTCAAGGAAACTTTTACAAGATATCATGCAGCCTATAATTTGTCTTAAATAGCGACTGATGAGGACCGTAGAGACCCTAGAACTCTAAAGTAATACCTGTTTCTTATACCCACTCAATAGAAAGACTTAAAAACGTAATTTTGTGAGCCACTTACTTTTTATAGATGGAACAAACATTATATATATACATTTTTTTTTTTAATTCCCAAAAGTGCCGAAATCCGCAAGACAATTTAGACCTTTCAGAGAGGATAGTAAAGCTCATTTTGAACGAATTCTCTGATGTATTTGAAAACCTATAGGTGTGTTGAAAAAGGCTTCGTTTAAAGAGGTGGTAGGTTAGATGTTTCTGGGATCTGTATTTCTTTACATGCAAATGATTAAGACGTTTGATACGCGGATCTTGTTTGTGTAATAGGTTATCACTTTTGATGTCTGAGTTACTTTTAAAACCTCAATAAATTCTACTAAAAAAAGCGAAAAAATATCTTATCAATATTTATTAAACTCGTGTCCAGTATCTTTTCTATGGCTGTGGAACATACGTTACATTACGGTATGCGTAGGATGCGAGGCGTAGTTGGTATTGTAACTAATACACCCAAAATTTGAAACTGTCAATGAGTTTTAAATTCACGACGAATATGACCAGTGGTAGATAACTTTTAGGTAACAAAGTTTTCAATTATCTATACAATTGACAATTACTGCTATTGAAAGAGTCATCAGCGTGGACATTGTAATGAAAAATGATCTTTAGTTTGAAAGTAATTTTCCTAGATCTGGTCAATTTAAAGGTATTTTCAGATCACTTTTCCATTATTAATGCCTCATAGGGTTCTGATAGTGTTTAGCTTGCACAAATTTCCACAGCGCTCAACTAATGATCGTGTTTGTATCAGGCGATTCAGTGGTAACGTATGTTCTTTCTTACGCTTTTTTCACTTCAAACGGCTATCAATTTATTTGCTTACAAAACAGAAACGCGTGGGCGTAAAATTGGGACATTTGTGGATTTTTGTTCTATACACATGTAAGTTTTAAAAAATTGGATAATACATCGAATTCATTCAATTTCATTTTTTGAGACTTGAACTTGTGAAATGCACCTCTATATTGGGTTTGGGTGAAAAGCGCGTGCACGAGGCAGGTAACATTACAGTATCTGTTTTAAGCGCGTCGCGGTAACATTCACTCAGCCGGGATAGCAATAACATGAATGACAGCCAGACAGTGTGTTCAATGGAAAGTCGTATGTATTACTATTTATTCCATTTATAAAGAAAAAGTCCTAATTTTAAACAACGGTCACATTTCTTGAAATATTACCAAACTGTTGTCGCGTGTTAGTCGATCGTCAATTGGCGCTCGTTCCTGCGTGTGATTGGAATGTGCATGCACGTGCTTGTGCATGTGTAGTTCAGTATCATGTTTGTGTTTATCTGCTTCTATATGTGTTTGTTTACTTAGGTGTGTGTGTATGTGTGTGTGCACGACTGCGTGCGTGTGTTTGATTGTGAACGGGTATGCTTGAGTGTGTGAGAGGGGGGAGGTGCAAAAGTGTTAAAATTCAGTAGATCGTTGTCACAAACGTACAGATACACATTTAACTGGAAACAATCTTATGAAGTACTGTGTTAATCGACTATATAATAGAGCATGCACCATGAACCGATAATGACACTAATAAAGGGACGCAGTCAAAAAAGTATTTCCCCCAAAAAAACTCATCCAATCTACGCGGTTTACATGGTATTTTAGGTAAATTTCTCGGGCAATCCCACCTCTTTTCTTCGTGTTTGTTTACATATGTTTGAGTGTGTGTGTGTGTGTGTGTGTGTGAGAGAGAGAGAGAGAGAGAGCATAAAAATTGAAATATATGTCACAAAGCTAAATGTTTATAGATATTGAACCTTACGTACAGTCACACTTGTGTAAACAAGCAAGTCAATAAAGCGTAAGGGGATTCCCCCTTACAGATATAATGGTAAGCACTATCGGGTCATAGTAGAGATTTGAGATTTCACCCTTGACATAGTTACGCAGCCCATAGTAAAGTGGCCCAACGCCCGATCGGACCAAACCATAGAAAGCTATAAAAGCGCGTGCACGAGGCAGGTAACATGTAACCTTACAGTATCTGTTTTAAGAGCGTCGCGGTAACAATCACTCAGCCGGGATAACAGTAACATGGCAGACAAGTCAGACAGTGTGTTCGATGGAAAATCGTATGTATTACTATTAATTCCATGTTTATTTCTTTTCTTGACAATTAAAGGAATATTGCGTGATTATATCTACCAAAGAAATGTCGTACTTTCAAAAAACGATCACGTTTTTTAAATATTACCAAGCTGTTGTCGTGTCTTTCGAGCGTTACTATTAGCGTTTCTCTGCGTGTGCTTGGAATGTTCGCGCTCGTGCTTTTGCATGTATAGTCCTGTAGCTGTGTATAAGCATGTTTGTATTTTTTTGCTTCTACACGTGTTCGTTTATTTAGGTGTGTGTGTGCTCGGGTGCGTGTGTGTGTTTAAGATTGTGCACGGATGAGAGGGGCAATAGCGCTAAAATTAAGCGGATCGTTGTCACAAGTAACACATACATCTGTGGACGGATGTTTTGGTAAGTTAAATAGCTGAAACAATCAGCTTCTAACCTATTGTTTGTTTATCGACNCTATTAGGTAACAAAGTTTTCAATTATCTATACAATTGACAATTACTGCTATTGAAAGAGTCATCAACGTGGACATTGTAATAAAAAATGATCTTTAGTTTGAAAGTAATTTTCCTAGATCTGGTCAATTTAAAGGTATTTTCCTATCACTTTTCCATTATTAATGACTCATAGGGTTCTGATAGTGTTTTGCTTGCACAAATTTCCACAGCGCTCAACTAATGATCGTGTTTGTATCAGGCAATTCAGTGGTAACGTATGTTCTTTCTTACGCTTTTTTCACTTCAAACGGCTATCAATTTATTTGCTTACAAAACAGAAACGCGTGGGCGTAAAATTGGGACATTTGTGGATTTTTGTTCTATACACATGTAAGTTTTAAAAAATTGGATAATACATCGAATTCATTCAATTTCATTTTTTGAGACTTGAACTTGTGAAATGCACCTCTATATTGGGTTTGGGTGAATGAGCGTGTTTTTTGAATAGGTGAACCTGCCATGTATCAAACAGTTATTCGGCCTTTATTATACGGACCAAGACACATTATTAGCAATATAATTAAAATATTTAATCTAATGTCTTTAAATCCCGATGTTCCGGAAAATTTTACACGGATAAAGTCATATTATAAACATTGTACACAGAGTTTATTAAACTATTCTGTAATCTTACGCTATTCGAACATAATTATACCGATAAAGTCAAATTAGACGGTGTTTCTTAAAATAATTTGTAATGTTACGTTATTCTGCTGACAATGCACTTTGTTTAATGCAGTCTTTAAATCCTTATGTTAGTCTGTTATTTCTCATTGCGTTCTCACCATCTGCAATGTAATTACTGTTACCTGTGCTTATATCGCTGTCAAAAACAAATTAATAGAATGTGTTAGGACCCATGAATGCGGATTCAATTTAAATACATTCTGTGTCTCAATCAATCAGTATCCGTCTAAATACGCCTTTTTCAATGTAAGACCATATTTTACAGTGGGGTGGCTATTGTTCAGACTTATTTAAACATGCCACGCCGTTCATAGTCTTTTCGACAGTGTGCAAAGCACTTCAATCAGTAACTCGCACAACGGATGTGCAAACATCTGACCCCATTTGATTATACTTCTGCTGGCTATACAGATAGACCAGCACTGCTGTTTTTGTGTTTTAGCTGCCCAATGTATGGGTGTAGGCCGAACACAAAATATGAAAGGACTTTGCAAGACCGACAATACCTTTCCTAACTGCTAAATAGATGCATGGATTTACTAACTTCGTATTAGTGTTTGGTAAGTAGAATATGTCGTTGCCAGGTTAAAGGGATCTGGGTGATTAAGCAAAAAAAAAAAAAAAAAAAAAAAAAAAAAAAAAAAAAAAAAAAAAAAAACGAAATATACATCTCGAAAAATTTTATTATGTGTATGGTCTAAGCTGCCTTTGAGTTACGATCTGATTAAGGTAAAATGAATTAACCGTGATTCCAGTTCAAAGATTCATAAAGTGCAGCGTAAAATCTTTTGCTTATCCACCCAGAACCACTTTTCGGTTTCTATTTTAACTCGATATACAAGGAATACTCAAACATATACTGTTATCAACATTTTCGGTTAAGAAAATAAACAAAAGATTTTTTAAAATTATTATTATTATTATTATTATTATTATTTTAAGTGTGAATTCAAAGCAAAAAAGGCACAGAAAACGACTTTTCTGCAAACTTCCGTATCTTCTTTGCTTTCTGAAAAAAAAAAACTTTAACTACTCTGTATATTGAAATGTTAAAAGATATGTCATATGACATGATAAAAATTATTTGACAGGAAAATACTACATTTACACGGAAAAATATGAATATATTTAGCCAACAACATGTTTTAAAATTAGGCGACACTGGTAAAGTTTGACTCAAAATGTTAAAACGCACCTCTTCTTTTATTTTTTTTCTTCTTTTTCTTCATCCTGCTTTTCTTCTTCTTCTTCCTCTTCATCTTGTTCCATCTCTTGTTCTTCAGTAAGAACAATAAATTCTTCAAGCTGAAAAAAAATCACGCTCGCTATTGCCGTATTGTACAGGATGATGATATTTATTTAAAACCATGTAGTTTCAATACTATGAAATAGCTAATCTTTCACAAACTAGGCCAATCAAATATCGTTAGAAGAGGGTAATACATATTTACCTTGTGGGCTTTGTAGACCCCTATTTGGAGGCCTTGTTGGTCATCGTCCACCTGTAAATAAGTTTACACTGTTTGTCAAAAGACCGATTGCATTGAGTGCATATATGCAATACATAGAAATCTCCACCGCTAAAAAATACAATTTGACATGTTTTAGTTAAAAATGCCTTGCCTGATATTTTGTATGTTATACATGCGTTACGTACCTGTGATTCAATGTGAAACGATTTCACATAGTAATTTCCTAATTCCTTTTCTGTCACGGCTACAATATAGCCGTGACAAATATCGCAGTGCTGCACCTCTTTCTGCGGCATGTCGGTGTGCTTGTAATGAGAATTGGGGTATTTATATGCGACAAAAAATATGTGACTTTGCAGTTTTTTCTCTAATTTAATATCAAATATTAGAATAATTATATATTACAGCATTTCAAACTTGTTCTTTGAATAAAGAAAAGTTGTACAATATCCCTAATGCCATGAAAAGACAGTGACCATCTTTGGCAAGATAAGATGACTCTGCAATTCTTTTCAGTAAAAACATAATGACTGTGAAGTTTTTCTTCAAATAATTATAAAATAAAACATTTCAAACGTGTCCTTTGAATAAAAAAAAGTTATTCAATATCAATAACGCAATGATAAGACAACGACCGTATTTGGCAAACAAAATGACTGCAATTCTTTCCGTTATTGAATATAATATTAGTACAGAGTAGGTTTTTACAGATGAATATATAGCCAAATGCTACCGGACTGTGAACGGACCTGTGCTTGTTTACCCTTCCCTTTGTGAGACGCGTTTAACTAAGGGCGTATTCCCAGAGCTTTTAGATCGATCTATCCCTGCGGGGAGTCTCACTGTCGGATTATCCGGCTTAAATGTTCGTCCCGCCTACTACAAGCTGTAAGGGGGTAATTAACTTTCGTGCCCGCTCGGCTGACAGCTATTTATTTATCTAAAGTAGATCGATCTAATCTCTGGGAATGGGGTCTAAAACTCAATGCCACCTCTTTAATGGGTCAGTAATAACACATGTGCATCTTTTATTTACCCAATTCAAAGAAAAAGTGATGCGTTCAGTAGGTATAAAATACAACTCATACAACACCAAATGTATTCTAGATTTTTTTTTTTTTTTTTTTTTTTTTTTTTTTTTTTTTTTTTTTTGTATTCGTATGACAAACATTCGATACGTACTCACAGTGACAGACGCGCATACACCAAACATGTCTTTCTTCTTTATATTTGCAAATCCGCCTGCACGTTCTTCAGGTGTTAATTTGTTGACAAATCCGCTTAACAGATAACACCCCCTCCCTCTGCTTGTCACATATTTGAAAGTTCACCTCAAAGGGTATCCAAGGGCATCTAGTGCATTCGTTATTAAAATTCGCTTACATTTAGCATCATGTCCCACATTTACGCTTCAAGGGTCACTAAAAATTGCATTAAAAGTATACTGTACCGCAAAGGATCGGGGCTCTTAAAACTCCTCTTTTACTACTAGCATTAAACTTAGTGCATTGAGAAACCGTGTGTGCGCGCGAAGGTATGCTCTCGCGTTTGTGTGTTGAAATATTTAATAAGTTCTTACCTGAACAAAATCCGACGGCTTGTCCATCTACAGCAGAAAACAGCCTACACTTCACGCCATTCATCTAAAAGAAACATTAAGAAGTATTAATAACTGCAAACTAAATAGGTCTTTACAAGTAAATGGGGAACCCATATCTTTGTATCAAAACCCAGTGTTAAAGAGCACCATAAGCTTTATTCGTCATATTCATTGCGATCATTCAATTGTCCAGGGTCAAACATTTTCAAAAAGATGGAGAGTTCACAGTGCTTAAGGATATCAAATAAATTTAGATGCTACTCAAAGTTCAGCTGTGTGCACCGATTTTTCTGCATGTATTCTGATATACAACATTAAAAAGACGAGTTATAAACATTTGACATAACTTACGCGTTTCTAGCGTTTTATTACAAAGATAATTGTACATATAATGATACTTGCAAGATATATTTTCTTCTATGCCTAATAAAAGCTTGAACTCGCAATTGTACCTTGCATATTCTGTGTCTTCATGAAACGGTGCCCAACAGTTGAACTGACAAGTGACCAATCTGGACGACAACTCATGTTGCGATGAAGGACTTATTGTTATGTAAATATCAACAGGTAGGGTTCATTTTAGGTGAGGGGTCGTGGCTCAAACCATTCTCACGAGAAAAAGCAAATGTTCATAATCTGATAGCTTTTTAGAAAAATAACTGTATTCCCTTAGACATTTAATGTATTCAGACGTTCTTAAACTATAGATGTATAACTGTAGTTTAATACATTAAACCTACACGCTTGCATTGCACCCGTTTCAAGTGTCTGGGGTAAGTAAGTAAAAAAGGAATAAAAAAGTTCATGTATGCTGGAAGAATTTCAGTTGTTTTTATTGCTGACAAACGTCTTGCAACTAAATGCATTTTATTGCTGTTTGTATTGTTGTATTGCGATCAAACCCGCAATTCCTGTGAAAAATCTGTCCCCTATACCGTATCCATTTATTGGCAACTAGAAAATAAACAGATGGCGAAAATCATTGTTTTCAGATGGCATATGGTCTGTTTTATACGTGTAGATGCAATGTTAGTAATGGACACCCATGAGTGAATAAGGAGCGAGGAGTGTTTTGTAGAGTAACTGAGTTGATTGACATGCTCTTATGGTACTTGTGCATACGTGCAATGTAAACGGAAGAAGGCCACTAAAAGGTTGCATGAGGTAAAGACAGAAATGAAAGAAAGCGGAGTGGGAAATATCTCGAAAGTGATTTATAAATAATATTAAAGTATATAAAAGAGTTGTATTTACTACCTCGCGTAACGGCAGAAAATAAAGACAACAACTTCGTCACATAGATATATGTCATGGGCAGATCCAGGATTATTTGAAGGTTAGGGGGTCCTGAACGACAGACCTCGGATGCGAAGCCGACCATCGCCCCCTTGGTGTGGGGTTCGGGGCCTGTTCAAGGGCCCCGAAAAAATTTAGGTGTTTCAAAGAGTAAATAGTGCCCTTTGGTACGTTTTAGAACTATGATTTAGGAGCCCCTGACCCCCCCTTTAAATCCGCCACTGCGACATGTTATATTTTATGGAATTATTGTGAAAACATGCCAAAATTAGAAATGGAAGTACATCAGTAAACCTTTATCCTGTTTTTTATTTCCAATTGTTACTACTTTGCTGTACTAGAATTATGACACATAATTCTATTAAAGACCACTCACTGAATTTTTACAGACAAAATTTAAAAGAAAGCCATTGCACAGAATTTTCCCCATCATGACTATTTCGCATGTAAATCTTTACTACCACTACTAATTCTACCGATGAAATTAAAAAAAAATTGTGTGGTTAACATGAGGCACAACTGCAATTTTCACTGTCATTTGGTACGTTTTGAAATAAAGGAGGCATGGAGGACACAAAATACCACGTGGAGACCTACGACGAATCGAGTGACATTCCTAGAGGTTCTTAGAGTTTGTGGTTGGGGCGGAGTTAACCCTTTGAAAGATGTTACCTACACATCAAGAAGTTTTGAGAATATGCGCCTAAACACATTGTTTTAACATCTTCATAATGAAAAAAAAAACACTTGCATAAACGTAGATTTGATTTATCTGAGGTATAAATCTATCTTGTCAATGGGTGTACCTAATTACCGTCTACAACCGAGCACAACCGACCACTACCGTCCACAAGCACTAATTACCGTCCACACAACAGCCCACACGTAATAAATACCGTCCACAAGCGTCCTCCCATATGAAATAGTTGTAAAATCAACTAAAAGATAGAAATTTAACATAAGATGGTGCTTTTTTTTTTAATTTCGATGGAAAGGCAGTCTTTTTTTATATGTTGCACTTCCAAATGGGCTAGCCTCTGCATCCAGGATCTGGACTAAGCTTCTTAAACCAGTTTTGGCACAATTAAGGTCAAAAGCATACATTTCCAGCATTTACTTGGATGATCTATATTTACAAGGTGAACCTAAGGAAGCTTGTGAGGAGAATGTTAGAGAAACTGTGCAATTACTATCAAAATTCGGTTTTCTCACTGAACTGTTTGAAGCTGGTCTTAATTACAGTGCCATCTGCACTGCAAGATCTGCCTTATCGGCTTTTGTGCAACTGAAAGATTGCTCAGCACTTGGATCTAACCAGCTCATCAAACGTTTCATTAAAGGTGTATTTCACAGCAGACCTTCTTTTCCAGGTACCAAACACATGGGATACAAATATTGTATTAGCATACCTAGAGAAATTATCACCAGATTCAAAACTTTCGGACAAAGATCTGACACGCAAACTAGTTATGCTGGTGGCACTGATATCAGGACAAAGATGTCAGTCAATTTATCTCATGAACCTTAAAACAGTGTTAAAAACTGACACAGGAGTGACTTTTTTAATTGACGCATTAGTTAAACAGTCTAGGCCAACAAAAGATCAGCCAATCATAAACTTACCAGGTTTCCCAGAGAATAGCAGACTCTGTGTGTTGAATGTGTTACATGAATATTATATGAATATTTTTAACGTTGATCCAACGCAACTATGCCTGTTGGGTTTTGTACAAAAAGAACACCCCCCCCCAAAAAAAAAAAAAAAAAATGTAGGTCTTTAAAAGAAAAATAGGGGTTAGAGTCAGTAAAATATTTTCAATTGCAACCAAAAAAAGAAAAGTCATTTTTATGTAAAGCATGCTATCAAAAAAAGAAGGGAAAATATGGATAGGAAATAGAGTCCAAATACAGTAAGTATATTGTTGTAAAGCAAATTACTTACACTTTCACTAATTACAGATAACAATTAAAGCGGAATCAAAAGAGTAAAAGGGACAAAGAGTTATTGAGCGTAAGTTAAGTTTCTCCAAGAGTCAACAAGTGTAGAACATGTTTTTAGTGTCAGATAAAGATGGAAAGGTCAAAGTCAGTAACAGTTAATGTTATTGGTTAATTTCATAACATATTTTAATTTTGATCATCTATTTATCACATGATAACTGAGTTTTGGATAAGGGCCAAGCATGAGTAATCCAAATAATATTTTAGATATCTTTAATTGAAAACAAGTATCTTAGGGATTACCTAATAAGGAAATGTTGCATGGTGACTTGCAACATGCGAATGGAAAATATTTTGTAATCACGCAAAGACAATGGAAAAGAAAACAAGTAAATGCGTGATCAGTACGGAGAAATTGAGTATAAATATTTGTGAAGTTGTATGAAGAGAGAGTCGGTGAATAAACGTTCGAAAGCTCCAAACTGCTGTCGTTATTTCTCACTATAACAATATCTTATTTCAATTCTTATTTCTTAGGATTAAGAAAGATTAAATGTAAAATGTGCTTCAGATATTCAAAGTTATATTAATTATCATAATAGCAGATGTACATTGTGGTGGCTTCTACTTTATATAGAGACCCATGCTGTAATAGACCTTTACACATAAGGGTGGCTCGACCCAACCCCCTCTAATGGGCATGAAAGTACATTTTGTACAACCAAACTTGTTGTGTAAATATCCCCTTTTACGTTTATTTTGCATGAAAAGGCTCCATCACTTCCACCCCAGCATTACACTTGTAGAGTTTTTTTTTCTTTTATTTATCACCAAAATTCTATGAATGGCTTTATTTGTCAAGGAGATCAGTGAAAACCTATTGATTTGGTAAATAGTCCAAACAAGAGACCAACAGCCTATAATAATTACCAGAATTTTACCAGATAAAGCAAGCTAGCCAATATACTGATGAGCATCTGCTAGAATGCCAGTTTGAAGTCAGTGTACGCAAGGATACACCTGATTCAATCAGAGCCAAAATAGTTAATTAAGGCACACATCTAGCCACCAGTACACATTATGGATTCAGACCTCCCATAGCAAAACTAGACCCATCAGTGTCTGGTACTGCCTGTGTAAAGCAGGTCCCAAGACAGTTGGAATTTGTGAACATATCACTTCAGTCCTGTGGTATATGGGGTTTGCCATGAGGCAGGGATACAATCGAAAATTATGTTGTGGAGAAGGCTGTTTGGATGCATCACATTTACGTACATCAAGTGGTGACAGTATTAGCGAGACAGAAAGTGTTTCGGACAGCACATCTGATTAATTATTTAATAAATAACTCTTGCATTGCATTCTATACAAGGTCTTTATCACATACTTAATCATCTATGAAGTACTTTTTATGTGATTTTTAGATTATTGGCCATAACTGTTATTATGTGTACTATATTTTCGTTCAGTTGTTACTTTTATCCTATCATTATTTTGGTACAATTTATACCTTGTTTATTTTATGGTTAATGGAAATATTCCAAATAGCTGTTTAGAGTGCTTTTACACATGATTTATTTTCGTTGTTACTATAACATCCTTTTGCTTTTAGCATTTTTTACTATTCCTTAGAGCCTTGTACAAAATGTGTATTGGTTAACAATACAATTATTTAGACCAACAAATGCTGGTCTGTGAGAAAAGTTTACACCACAAGACCAGTTTCATTAGAAAAAATCATTTATGTAATATATATGCTGAAACAAGCTGCTCTGATTTATTAGACTGCATACAACAAGTAAATCTGCCCCCCCACCCCCACCCACACACACACATATAACTCATTAAAAATACAAAGTTACGATGCCCCAAACCAAATAATGTTTTTTTCACGGAATATATAAATATATACATAAACTTTATAATATAAAATTATTTGACGATGGGCGCTTTGCCAATGGTTATCTGCACTCATCCTTTAAAGATTGAGCACCACGCAGGCGCGCGTATATCTCTCTAATGATCCAGATGAGAGTTTAATGCCAATCAAACTTCAACTTACAGGTAAGTCTCGTTAAATCTTTAAATTATGTTTAACATGCGTATGCTGACTAAAATTATCAGGGTTTGGTACAAGTACCATGCACATGTACAGTATCTATACTGTGTATAATGAGCGTAATATCATGTTAAATCACATTTAAAGACTTCGAAAAGTATTTCATCTACCAAACAAAACAAAAACG